GGCAAGAGACTCAGACCCTGTAGCTTCTAACTGGATCCCGAGCACCAAGAAACTTGGCAGCCTACAACTGCTACTCAAAATCCTATGCCAATCGTTCAGAAGCTGCTCTAGATAAGGACATCTGCAAACTGAAAGCATACATGGAAGTAAAAAAAAAAAAGCATTATTAAAATATCATAAAGAAAACAGGGCTGGGGATGTGGCTCAAGTGGTAGAGCGCTTGCCTGGCATGCGCGGGGCACTGGGTTTGATCCTCAACACCACATAAAAATAAAGATATTGTGTCTACCAAAAACTAAAAAAAAAAAAAGAAAACAAAATGTTATTAACTGAGCATTTCTTTGAAGTCACTTTGCTGCCCTGCAGACTCTCCTGGCCATCAAGGAACCCTCATGGATATAGCCACCTCAGGGGGATGTACAGCACCAACAAGGAATTAGAGAATCTGAGAGGAGTTGCCGGGTCACTCACATAAATTAATCAAGCAAAGGGAGCTGTGGACTAAGCGATCTCTGAACAGAATAGATGATATAACAGACTTAGTACCCCTGTGATATTAATCCTCAGGACAAATTTCAGCTCCATAAAAAGGATGACAATAATTCCCATGTTACTTAAAACCTGGACCTCCAACAGAGACCACATTAGTGTCCTTAAGTGGTTTCGTCAACATCATCTATGAGTCAAATTTCAGATTTAAATGGCAAAACAGGATCATCAATAATTAGGCCTTGGAACATAAGCAGATGAAGAGCATGAAACAAATGCTTGTTACAACACAGTGTCATGGGCGGGATTCACACAGCAGAACACCCAACCAAGTCCTGGGAAGGGAGATGTTTAAACATCAATACATAATGATAAAGACTTAAAAGAGACCCGCCTCCCTACAATAAATACATATAGAGCAAAACAAAAACAGCATGCAATCTAGGCTTAAAGGGAATTTGTTTTTCACGTAGCAGAATGGACCTCACTTCACAGATAAGGAAACTGGGTCCTAGAGAAACTGTCCAAGATGATCTTTGCTGGTTTTGAGGCCTCATTCCACCTTCAGTAGGCCAGTTTTCTCTCAAAAAATAAGAAGGTGGGGGCGGGAAAGCCACTTGTGTTGTTAGCTGACTCATCAAAGGATCTGAAAATCTTGGGAATCTTTATTTCCTTTACTCTCAAAAACTAAAAGCTAGGGGGTGGGGTTGTGGCTCAGAGGTAGAGCGCTTGCCTAGTATGTGTGAGCCACTAGGTTCAATTCTTAGCACCGCATAAAAATAAAATAAAGGTACTGTGTCCACAATTAAAAATTATATGTTAAAAAAACCCTGAAAGCTAAACAAAATAATATTGCCGAAAGACAGTAGAACGAACCAGACATAACTTTCCTATGTTCATATATGAATACACAACCAGTGGAATTCCACAAAACGTACAATCACAAGAATGGGATCCTAATTAGAATAAGTATACTTCATGTATGTATAATGTGTCAAAATACACTCTATTGTCATATATTTCTAAAAATAACAAATAGGGCTGGGGATGTGGCTCAAGCGGTAGCGCGCTCGCTTGGCATGCGTGTGGCCCAGGTTCAATCCTCGGCACCACATACAAACAAAGATGTTGTGTCCGCCGAAAACTAAAAAAATAAATATTAAAAATTCTGTCTCACTCTCTCTTAAAAAAAATAACAAACAAAAATTAAAAAAAAAATAATACTGCCATAGGTCCCCAGAAAAACCTAACATCTCAAAAGACCAGGAACCTGTACAGAGCCACTCTAGAGTCACTGCAGAAGTACAGAGTGGTTCATTTTTCAATTCTCTCCTCATGCATTGTGCCCCAGGAACCAGGCTCAAAGGAAGGGGTCTGAACTCCACTTGGGCAACAATGGGCTCAGGCCTGGACCAGAGGGGCCCCAGACACTGCAATATTCCAAAGAAAGGGAAATTTCCTATGAGCCCCATGGAGGACTCGGGATTGCTGAGAAAGGAAAGACTAATGGTCAAGGATTGTCATTTATATATGGAGTCAGTTTTGGCTTTCTTTCTTTCTTTTTGTTTTTAAGTCTTGCCAGTCTTAAGAGGCCCACTAAGGTCTACATTTAGTTTTCCCAACAAGTCAAAGGAAAAAAAAAAGTTGCTTCAGTATGACAGAATTGGATTGGCCCTCTGTTGAGCACAGGAATCTATAGATACATGGCTTCTAAACTACACATCTCAGACCTTCAGACCTCTTGTGAGTTACTATGAAGTTCACTAAAGACATTAAACAAAACTCAGGTTTATGAAACTTCAGAGATTATCAGATTTTTAAATATTCAATTCATATGTTAATCATGTCACAGATTTAAATGCTTAAGCTTCAAAAAGAAACAATAAAGACCAACCAGTTCCAAAGCATACAAATTCATTTTGTTTCAGTGTAATTCTCTGTAGTATCATCCATAAAAAATAGATACATTATAAGAGACAAATATCATTGGCATTAAAATTACTAAGCAGTTTGTTTCTAGGTAGCAATAAAGATTATTCAAATTATTTTGAAATAGCCTTGAAATTGATAAAGAACCACAAACATTTTACCACTTCAACAGCCAAATAAAGTAATTCATCTGTTATTGAAGAAAAATATTGACCGATTCATGTTTAAAAAATATCTATTCATGTTAAAAATATCTATCCTACCAGTTACACAAAAGGGTTGAAAAATGATGGGGCAAGGGCTGTAGTCAGTGGCAGAGCACTTGCCTAGCACTTGTGAGGCACTGGGTTCAATCCTTCGCACCACATAAAAATAAACAAATAAAATAAAGGCAGGCTGTCCATCTACAACTGCAAAAAAAAAAAAAAAAAAAAAAAGTTGAAAGAAGAGTTGAAAATTAATGTGAGAGTGCTTGATAGTCACTTAAATTATAACATACTATAAGCTATCAATTACACCGTGAACAACAGTTAAATACAAACAATGTTCTAACTCGATGGTTAAGAGTTAAAGAACAGCCATTATGAACTTGGAGTCTACTCCTAGTTCAGCCATTAAGTACTAGAAACCTCATAAATGCTCGATTAAGTGCCTATTCTCCTACTTAAGAAAGTGACAGAATTGGACCACAGAATATCTTTCCTAACTGGAGGATATCACTACCTCAGTAGACCTGTGTGCAGACCTGGCAAGTGTTCAAAACACTATTATTCACTTTTTCAGAGGTGGCTCAAAGATTGAATGAAAGACATATTTTATCCCTCATTTGTCAGATTACTGAACCAAAGACAAGACTATGCCATCTATCAACTCAGAGTTATGAGTAAAAACAGGAAACAAGGAATGGGTCTTCAAACTCTTGAGTCTGCTTGGCTAACAAGGAAATGGAGCCAAGCCTCTATGCGCAGTGTGCTATGACAGAAAAGCAGGCAGGCTTCAACACATTTACCAAGTCTCTAGGCACTGTTCTTTCTGGGTATGAGGGGCCCAGCAATGAACCAAAGAAAAATCTGGCCTCGCTGGGCTTACACTGTGGTTGAGAAAGATCCACAAAGTAAATGAGTAAAATATAGGGTATATTACAGCAGTAAGTGCTATGGAGACAAGTGAACGGAGATACCACGTATTCCAGGATTTGCAACTTCTTTTAAGCTGACTACCTGCCATTCAAAGAACTACAACAATAACCAATTAAAGTTTTCCTGAGCATTTCCCCAAACAATGACCACTACTGTGGATACAGGGAAGGCCCTGGTCTGATGATTTTGTTACTGACTGTTCTAATCTCTGAATTGCCAGCTATGGGCTGTCTGTCACATTGATGGCCTAAATTCCTTTTAACAAAGACTCTCCCCCAGCCCCTTAAATCTGCTAAGGAAGAGTGCAAATATAATTATAGGAGAAAGCCAGAAATTTCGAGGGCACTTGAACTACTTCTGAGTTAGCACAAACATCTCCTAATGCAAAGGTGAAAATGCAGTTTGTATGCTGAGTTCTGCTGGGATAAAGCACTAAGAATACAGCACGTATCATCTTGCTTTTTCTGACCTGTCAATTCTAGAGGTATTCTCTACCATTAGTCTATATTTAACCAGCTTACTGGGCACTTTCTTCAGCTTTTAGTATTCCCCCTCCCATCATTTACTGAAAGAGCAATCCAGTTTGCAGGAAAGTTGCTAATAGAAAAGATCGCAGCCTCCTGCACGATCTGATACGCTTGTATAAGCACTGTTTTAACCTTTTAATTAAGCTGGTTGGTTGAGCTGGTAAATAAGGTTAAGCTTTGTTTTACTGAAGTTTTAAAACGCACTCTTATTAATCGCTAGAATATCAAGGTTTTGAGTCTGTAAATGATCCTGAGCATTACAAAAGGTCTGGGAAAACTCGCCAACAGCTTCCTCCATCAGAAACACCCAACCCTCCCCTCAAACGGACTTCTCCTGAGGAGGAGGGAAAGTCTCGCCGACCGGCCCGAGGGTCGGCGGCTGCCCGCCGGAGCTTTCCTTCTGCCCACCCCGGCCGGGAGGCGTTTGGGTGGCTCCTCCGCGGGGAGGGCGCTCCCCGTCCGCCCGCGGCGCCGGCCCAGCCCACTGCGCGTCGATCCGGAGGCGAGCGGCCGGCAAACTTCTGCCGGGATCGTGGGCCGGGCCGGGCCGGGCCCGGCGCTGCGGCGGCTCTCCCCGGCGGGCCCCGCCCTGGTCGCGGGCGCAGGTCCGGCCGGGCCGGGGGACCTCCGGGGCCCTCCGGGGCGGAGCGGCCGCCGGGGGGCGGGGGCCGGGGGAGCGCCGAGGGGCCGCGGCCCGGCCGGGGGCAGCTCTGGGGGCGCGGGCCCGGCCGAGGGGGCCACAACGCAGCTGTCCTGGGGCGCGGCGGCCAGGCGGCCGGGCCGGGCGTCTCCGGGAAGGACGCCGCGCTGAAGGCGCCGCCGCGGACCCCGGCGGCCGGGGATGGGGACCGGCGACCCGGGGACACGCCCGCCCCGCCCCGCCCCACCCGCCCGCCGGCCGCGGACCCCTCCTCACCTGATGTACGGGCTGGCCGCCGCCAGGATGTTCTTCTGCACCGGGATCTCCTCCCCGTCGAGGACCAGGTGCGCGTCGCAGAAGCGGGACTCCTCGCGGAAAGAGCTGAGCGCTCGCAGCAGGCGTGCGGCGTGCTGAGGGTCCGACACGGCGCTGCCCTCGGCCATCGCGGCACCCGCTGCTCAGCGGCCGGTCGGGCTCCCGAGGCCGCCGGGCCCGACCCCTCGAGCCGCCCGAGTCCGGCGCGCGCCCCGTCCGCACACCGCGCGCGCGCCCGCCTGGCCCGGCTCTTGGCGCTGCGAGCTGTGGCTGGAACCTCCGGAACGCGCCTGCGCCATCCGCGGCGCCCGGTGCCGGTGCCTTTAAGGAGCCGCGGCGTTGCGTCATCTCTCCGCGACGCCCTCGCGCCCTTCCCTCTTGCTCCCGTCGCCGGAGGCGGCCAATCAGAAGCTGCCTGGCTCCGCCCCGGCCACTGGCGGGCCCGAACTGCACCGGTGCCGGAGAGCTCGGGGCTCTGGACCGTGCCCCGGAGGGCCGGGCTCCTGCGGGCTCTGCGTACTAGCAGTGTGGCCGTGGGTGAGGTGCCCGTCCCCAGCTTCTCCATCTTCTAAATGAAGACGCGGACTCGTGTGAGCGAGGGCGCATTAGGTGCAGAGCGCATCGCGAACCTGGGAAGAGGAGCTCCCCGCTGAGAGCGCCGAGCTCAGGGAGCGGAGCCTGAAAAGCCCGTTTTGGTTGCGGGCCGGGGAGGAGATGGAACAGATGAAGCTGGAGAAATACACGGGATGCCTTAAATTTGGAAGGGCCTACTTGGCTGTGGTAAGGAAGTTGATCTTGATCCGGTAGGTGTTAGGAACTATGGAAGGGCTTTTTGTTTTTGTTTTGGTGTTTTAATAAAGATTCCTAAGCTACCACGTAGAGAATGGGGTGGCGATGGGGGTGCTGAAAGCAGGTAGGTGCTTAGATACTGTGGTGATTGACAAGGGACTGGTGGCCTGGGTGAAAGGGTGTAAGTGGACAATAGTGTATTGCTTTAAAAGAATAAAATTGTGTGGTATAGAAAGTCCAGATACGTTAGTTCTTTTAAAGGAAAAGTGGGAAACACTGAAGAGGTGGGAGATAGGATGGGATCAGATGCTCAACGCAGTGAAGATCAAGACTGTGACAGGAAAACACCTCTGGGTCAGCTCACCCTGCAGGGTGAGCCTCGTACCATCTGAAGTTAACCTGAAGGTTATGGAACGCACATGGGACTATGGAATGTACTTCCCATTTTGTGTAAACATTAGGTACTCAGTAAGCCTCCAAATAATTAGCAGTTTTTATGAGGACCAAGGATCAGAAGACTGGTCAGCAGCATACCTGACAAGGGAGAATGCTGTTTTCAGCTCAGACTTCAGCCAAGGAAAAACCTCCAGTAGAGTCTTAGGTCCTTACTGTGAGCCAGCCAAGTCTTGGAGTCACTGGCAGTAGATATCTGATTTCCTGCGGAAGACTGGGTTGTGGAAAGGATGTTAATAGTGGAAGATTCACACGTTTCCAATTCCTTTTTCAAAGGTAGTTCAGTATTTATGGGTGCAGTGAAAAAAATGTCTAGGATTTGCTTCAAAACAAAGGGATATGGAAAGCAGGTAGGAGTAGAGATGAATCAAAAGTGGCCATGAGTTACTAATTGTTGAAGCCAGGTAATGGGTTGCACTATTCTTTATGTTTCTGTGGGGGTTTTTTTGGGGGGTGGGGGTTACTGAGCATTGAACCCAGGGGTGCTTAACCACTGAGCCACATCCCCAGCCCTTTTTAAATATTTTATTAGAGACAGGGTCTCACTGAGCTGCTAAGTGCCTCACTATGTTGCTGAGACTGGCTTTGAGCTTGTGATCCTCCTGCCTCAGCTTCTCGAGCTGCTGGGATTATAGGTGTGTGCCACTGCACCCAGCTCTATATTTTTGTGTTTGTTGAAAATGTTATATTAAATAATAAGACCTGGTGCAGTGGTGCATGCCTGTAATCCTACCGACTTGGGAGGCTGAGGCAGGACGATTCCAAGTTCGAGGACAGCCTCAGCTACTTAGCAAGGCCCTCAGAAACTTAGTGAGATCTTATCTCAAAATATAAAACGCTGGGGATGTGGCTCAGTGGTAAAGTACCCCTGGGTCCAATCCCCAATATCAACACAAACACACATACACACTCTCTCTCACACACAACCAAAAAATCAAGAGAGGCAATAAGAGTTTATCTTTTGTGTACCCAACTCTGGGCATAGTCAGCACTGTTTTCTCCAAGCAATTGCTGTACTTTGAACTTTGCATTAGCAGTAAATTTGTTTTAATAAGTTTATTTGTTCATGTTACCTGCTAACTTGTATGTTTATTGTATCTCGGCATGATTTCCAAGTGCCAAGCATAGTACTTGACACATAGTAGTACTCATTGAATGTCGGATGGGTAGAAGGATTAAAAAAAAAAAAAATCTGTGAATACCAGACACTTAATAAAGGTTTTCTGAATTATACTCTCTGGTCTTAGTTAATTTGTTTTCTTCTCAATTGGGCTTAAAATGGTGTATATGACTTGGAGAGTTCTCTGTCCAATGTAGGTATTTGATAAATACTTAATTGATTGCTTGGAATACTGGGCTATTCTCCAAATGACAGGGATTCCAAAATAAAAAAAAAAGAGGCCCAATAACAGAATCACCTCAGGTAACCAGTTATCCCACAGTGGGAAGGTTGCCTTAGTTGAGATAATACGAAGTGAGTGGGGATTAGTCAGGCAGCCTGGTAGAGGTAAATCTTCTCTGTTTTGATGGAAGGAAGGAATAGGAAGACCTGGACAGAGGTTCATACACAATGTCAATCAGGAGAAAGGTAGTTGCTGGCTGGAGAAGCTCATTTGTGCAACTGGCAGAGCAAATCAGCAGAAGACCCCTGGATGCTTTGAATACCACTCCCACTGCTTCCAATATTTTCCATCCCTCCATCTGCCTGGTGAACTCTTGTTCATCTTTTGAAAGCCAGCTTAAACAGAACCTCCAGGAAACCTTCAGCCAGCTTCCCAGGACAGAGTGGCTCAGCCATCTCTGAGGCCCTACCATACCATGTTCATGCTTTCTTGCTGCACTTGCCACTCTCACTGTGCTTTCATTTACTGGTTTGTAAGTCTGTCCCCCTGGTGGATTGTGAGCCGCTCCCAGGGTAGGAGCTGTGTTGTGCCCTGGGCACATGCTTGACTTAATTAGCTAGACATAGCAAATTAGGTAAATGAGACAGAATGGGATGCAGGATGTCAGACAAAGGGGCCAGGTGGGGTTTGGGGGAACTGAGAACACATATCCCCCCACTCCAGCTGATGGCTCTGAGGGCCCAGTGATGCCAGATATAGCAGTTTTTCAAAAGATCTTGAAAGCTCAATTCTATATGTTGAATGTTCTGGTTATTCACCATTAGCAACTAATTCCACTGGGGTAAGAGGCAGAGTAGCATGGGTCTACAGACAGGATCTAGCTTTAATTCATTATCAGAGGTAATTAGAAAACTCTTAGTTTACTGAAAAGGTAGTTGATAATCTAAAGGATGCTATGTTGCCAATAAAAAGTGAAGTGATAGTAGCTGAGTTCAGGTGCCTTAAGAAAGCTCATCCTGGTGCCATGGGGGGAGAGAGGGTCCAAGCATGGGAGGAGGACTTGCGAGGCAGGACATAGCCTCCCACTGCTGCAGGAGCCACTCCTGGTTGAGCCGTTGACAGCTTTGCAGCCTTCTCTATGTTGCTTAAACTGAGCCGCCCTTGATATTATTTATGACCATCAGAATGGTGCAAATAATGTTGTTGTTTCCCGACATTCCATAGGTATCAGGTATCAGCTGTTATTGTGAAACAAGCAATCTGAGACATCTGATACTGTCCTGGCAGTTTCAGTCTCTGATGACTGACTGTGGAACTCTTCTGTTTTATAGGCTAAACAACCTCCAGAGAAAGAATTTTTTTTTTTTTTTGCCTGATAATAACAGTAATCATTCAACAAATGTGTCTTAGCTGCTGCTGTCTGCTGCATTTACAGTGATTGAGAGACAGTTACCTTAGTGGTCTTACAGAGACCTTATTCTCTGCACTTTCATATTTATATTTTCTGCACTGATCGTATGCCATTCTTACAACCAAGAAAAAAAAGAAATCATAAAAGAAAAACAAGCAATTTCAACTTGCAAAAAAATAAGCTTTCTTTTGCTGTGGAAGGTGGGCCCTCAAGAGAAGAATCACCTTAGGAATTTGGGCCTTTATTTTAAAAAAATTATTAGTCCAATAAAATGAACACTGTAAAACAAAGAAAAAAGCCAGTAGTTTGAAAACTTTAGAAAACATTGAATCAGATGGATTCAGCTTATTGAAGAGAATACTGAAGTACAAGACTAGCAGAGGTCTTGGTCAAGGTCATTCAAGTGACCTTGTTGGGCAAAACAGAAGTGCCTTCCAGCCCTGCAAGCTTTTCCATTACACCAGGTTGGCTTCATGAACACCAATTTGGTTGAGACAGTCTCTTCTGATTCATTTTAAGGTAGACTTCAGACATTTTATTGGGTAAATTTGTCATTTGTCCAAATCTATATATAGCTTTTTGCTTTCCGAAAAATCTAAGCTCTTCCAAATTGCTGAGTCAGAGAACATCTTAGTATTTATAACACTTGAGAGTTGATTCTATATATTTCACAGTAGTCAGAGAACAGTCTCAGAAACCAGGGAACTAATTAAGTTGTAATGAAGCTCCAAGACCATACAAGGATAGTTTCTGTCCAAATCCATGCTCTGCCACCACCACAGCACAATGCTGGACACACAGTAGGTGCTCAATAAATTCTGGCTGAATGTAGCTGGGCATGGCAGCACATGCCTGTAATCCTAGCACCTCAGAAGGCTGAGGCAGGAGGATTACAAGTTCAAGACTAGCCTGGGCAACCTAGCAAGACCCTGTCTCAAAATAGGAAGGGCTGGTGATGTAGCTTAGTGATAAAAACACCCTGGGTTCAGTCCCCAGTACCTAAAAATAAATAAAAATAATAGATAAGGAGATTGGAGATTTTTCCATCTATAAGGGGTGACTTCAGATGTTTTCTATAATTCTCCTCTGAACTCTAAACTGGCTTACTCAACAGCCTGCTTGCCATCTCCAATTGGACATCTCCTTTGTTGGTTTGTTTTTTAGCGGAGGAAAGTTTATTTTGGC